TCTCCCTCTACTATTCTCTCAAGGACCAGTGATGCCACCCTCATTCAGGTCTTCTTCTATGCCCAATTTCATTCTGGGTGCTACCCAGAGAGGACAGTAGAGCAGAGCACCGCACAACTCCAAGGTCTAAGTATCCTCTCAGAAGTATTTTCCTGATGGCTTTGCTCAGTCTACCACATCTCAAGCTGTGAAGAAGTCTGATGTTTTGTATTTTAATGTCATTTGTATGAAGAAGCTGCATTTTATTCTGGACCCCCATAGTCTCTTGCCAGAAAATCAATGCCTAGAGAAACAGAACCTGTGAAATTTCAGAGGTATTTTTGCTGACATGGTTGGAAGAAGAAACATTGCTAAGGACACCAAATGCTTAGGAAACTCCTGGAGCACTTGAATATCCATATGAAATATTCAGAAATTCATGGAAGCTCAGTCTGTTTACGCCTTTACACACAACGGTTACCACTAGGGAAAGACTTACCTTAAAAACATGCAAAATGAAATATATGTTCTACAATGCATATTGCTCAAACTGCAATACTCACAACATGCAAGTACAGAGATTACCACTGTTCCTGAAAGGATTAGTTATACAAATAGATAACGTGAACTTAAAATACAAAAAATAAAACAAATGATGCAAATCAGTGAGATTAAGGACATTAGTTAGTTGCAGGTTGCCAGGAGGTAGGAAAATATTCTCTAAAGGAACAAATAATTTTTTTTTTGCAGCAGAGCTCTTGCTTCTCTCTCTGAAATATTATCATTGGCCTCTATTGAATAGAAAATCTTGAATTAAATGAGTGCCTAGTGGGATACAGGATTTATCATCATCATACCTGTGCATATGTTTGACCAGGGGATACTGGAAGCTGAAAATCATCCACTTAAAAGTGCCCTCACTGCATTCTGAATGCAGTGTAATTAATACCATCTATGTTTCAGGTTAGACTTTCTCACTTTTGTCTATTGTCTATGAATACCCTCCAGACAGTCTAACGGAAAAGCTAATCCAAGGATGGATGCTTGCTTGTAAATAAATCTAGATGCTAACCTGCTAATACTACTATGACTCAGGGAGGATACAGCTTGTTACAATATTTGTTATTTAAAAGACTACTAGGACTTAAAAAAATGTAACTTTTTTTGTGTTTGATGTAAAAAAAAAAAATCACAAACAAATCCCGCTGAGCCTGTTTTGCAAACATGTTGAATTTATGAGGATGAAAGGCAAGTCAGAAAAAGGTCACGCCTATTAATTTCAATCCTTGTGCGAAACCAGCATATTCTATACACACTTAGTAAGATTTGTGACATTTGGCTGAATACATTTGTATTCCTTTAATGCTATTAATAGTATCTATGCTCTACATTGCTAAGTATATTTCAAATAGTGTCCTTTGCAATTCTGATATACTTCAGTTAAATGCAAGCATGATACTACAGGCTTATAATTATTTCCATCACATTAGCTCCTTCTCACTTGCAGAAATCCTTTATGCTTTGAAAGGTCTGTTAATGGGTTTGGACATTTTTGCACTTTCTACTGTGATTTTTTACCTTGACATTGTTATAATCTGGCAATGTCGTGATGTTTGGCAGTGCACAATCAGAATTGAACGGGCCAGAATCAGGAAGAGTAGGACTTCCCCATCCCATTAGTACTGCTCTTTGTGGCTCAGCCACACGATGGAAAGATGCTGCTCTTATCACACTGAGATCCTTCTTCACATCATGTATATATTCAGACTCCAAATGAAAAACTTTTTCTTTTTTGTAAAGGAAGAAAAAATGTCTTCTTTCATCTTTAAATAAAACCAAGTCCCTTCTAAGCTTCTCTGTGAATACAAAAAGAAGAGAAAGCCTAGCACAGGACAGTCTTGTGTTAGCATGCTCATCTAAAGAGCCTGGAAATGAAAGTTCAATTTTCATCTCATTTTATCAGTCACAAATAGTGGTGAATGTCTGGCCACCAAACACAGAATATTTTTCCTCTGCATTTTCTCACTGGTTTTGGCAAAAGAAATATCAGTCCTGGATCTAAGATAATTTGTTACACTGAGATAAAGGGAATTTCATGTTTGTGGCAGTGTGAAGGTGTGGTAGAAGCAAGCAAGAGAAGGTGCATGTGAAACAAGCACGGGGACTAGTTACATATTAGTGAGATAGTCCCAAAGATATAAAGTAAGAGTTTGGCGAATATCTTCAGGTCTTACCACCAAGTTGTGATTAGTGAAGGCAACACAACTAGTCCCTGCAGGTAATGGAATAAAGACTGTGGGGCTGTGAGAAGCATAAACTTCACAGGGGCTGCGTAGCAGCTGTGTGTCATGAAAGGCTCTTTGCCTTATATAGCAACATAGCAACATAGAGATGTGTCACCTCACTTCAGCTGACAAGTTCAGTGCCGATGAAGTAAGTGCTGGTTGCTCAGCAGAAAGGGAAGAGTTTGTATGACAGGGTGGGAGGCATTGCCTACAGTCAGGATAGGAAGGAATTCAAAGATAAGATTAAAAAGTAATTAAGAAAGGTTGTACAACACTAATCTTCTAAGTGGGCACAGATGAGTCAGTTTTCATCAGTCTTGTTTACACAACATGTGAAATGTTGGTGGGGACATTTTTTCTACTTTGCTTGCATCAGTATTTAATATTGAAGACTATATTAGTAAATGAAGGTGAAATAAGAGCTTATACAGTAACTGATGGGACTGTATATCAATGCTTCAAACAACACACGCGATTTAATGGATGTTTTGTGACTAGGGACCTTAATCATTAGCATGGGAAGGAGGAGTTGAATGAAGTACTAAGATGAAATTTTGAACAGTAATTGCAAAACTCCCTGACATAATTGTATCAACAGCAATCTTCTGTTCTGTCTTAATTTACTAAACACCAGAACCACAGTCATTAATTAGGAACCTACTAACAGTACAATCGGAGAGCAATTTTACTTGTGTGAGTACATCTACTTATGTCGAAGTCATATGTTTCCGTGTCTGCAGAATTGGATATTAGATGCAATATACCAATCTCTGTAAAACACCCTAGTCCTATAAAAACAAATTCCCTATCAGAGTCCTGAAGACAGCCTCCTACGCTCAAAAACAGCTTAGTTCTGCTGAAGAAAAATCATACACACCCTTTCATCATATCATGGACAGTTTATGTCAGAATCTCATTTTATATTGAATTTTTCAGAATCAGATTGCAACCATTTAGAGTTCTCAGTTCAGGTCTGGAGGCAGTGATAAGAAATTGATAAGATTGTAAATGGCCTGATTCTACATTACAAATCAAAAGTGATTATGAATTAATCATTAATATGCTCCTTGTAGCTTTAGTGATTGGTAAAACTGGAAGTGCTTGTCCCATAAGTGAATCTTCATTCAAAACAATCAGTTCTCACAGATGTGACTTCTCTATGATCCCACAAACAGGTCATCCCTTCTTCATGAGATGCAAGCAGATTAATTAATGTTACAAAGGTCTACCCAATGGTGAATGCATTTACATGTACTTTTAAGGTCTTAAAGGAAGGTATACAGGAAGGTATAATCTAATAGCTCATTTGCAAACAAATAAATCTGCTTCTAGTGTCTCATCAAGAAAAGCAGATGTGCCCTAAACACAGTTGAGACTGATGCTGATTGACTGAACTACAGCTGGGGTCAAATTTCGGAGAGGAAAAGTTCTCTCATCGAATATACTATGCGTGTAGCTACTGGTGCAGGTGCTTTGATTTGTGCCTCTAGTTCATTTTCTGGTGATATGTTTTGTGACTGCAAGTTGTTATCCTGGAAGAGAACTCCCGTTCTGCAACACAAAGAATGGAAAATGTATCCTCAGTTACACTGTCATGCCCTCTGTGATATGTACCTTTCTAACAGCATGCCTCAGGTTTTATTAGCAATAGTATTTGACACCATTGTGAATACATAAATTCTAGAACCAAGCCTGTGAAGAATATTAGATATGAAATACAGATAACTCTTTCCAACCCCAGGCTTTGTGCAAAGATTACTTCTCACGAAGTGATCCTCCGTCCTGAGTTTAGACTTGCTACATCACTGCTAACAAATCAATGCACAGAAGAGGAACAGAACATATATTTTTGTGGCATAGAGATCTTGGCTACAGGAGTGAGGTCTGATGCAGGACTCAGGTGTCACAGTGCCAGCTTGGGGGTTTTATTCAAGGCTTCCGTGTCTTTTTTTTTTTTAACCCAAATGAAGAATTAGCATTTTCATTAAGACAGTCTTTTTGATTAAATCACTGATCCTGTAATACAGGATTTATGATGAAGAATCTTCTGTAATAGAACTACTTCAATAGATTGTGCTTCACTAGAAAATAATTTTTAACATGGAAAAGGTCATTTTAATTACATTTATTTCATTTTCTCCAGGGTATTTTATGCCTCTTGGTCTTTTTAACGCAAGGGTGGTTGTTTCTTTTTTTCCTCCCAATTTCTTTATTTTTTTTTATATTTTCTACTATCATTTTTGCTCAGTAGAGAATGAGAAGAACAAGGCAGACTAAAGCTATACTGAAAAAATGCAACATCCTTCATTCAGGTTAAAACAGCAATGAAGCCAGGGAATCTGATTTTTATTTGGTTTAGTAGTAGACATCTGGCAAACCTAACAATTTGATTTTGTTCAATTAAGTTGCTTTGGTTTATTAATTATAGTTATTCTATCTCAACCTTATTATGTTCAACTTTGTGACCAAAATGAATAGCCCCCTTCCCCCTCCTTTTTTTTAAAGCTTGCTTTTGTAAAGAAATAATTTCCTTTAATCATCATAATGTAGGTGCATATGCATGCTGTCTTTATAACTTCCAAACATGTTACACCAAATTTATAACCTGTTCCATTTGACAGATCTATCCTAAGCTAGTAAATTCATTGAAATTTCATCAAAGTAGATAGAGAAGAGTGATTGAGTTAATAGTGATGGCAACAAGATGCCATGCTTAAGACATATCAGCAAACCTACCCAGGAGAATGGCCTCAAGGATCATCCACAGGAAACCAGGCTTCACCAGTGCTGGAGCTCATGCTCTTGTCCCTGCATGGGCATGTGGCTGTCACTAGGGCGTGGAGTCCAGTGGATGGATGAATAATTCCACTTTGATCAGTCTAACCAACAAGAGGATTAAGATGCAGGGAGCCATCACTCATCTGAAGATATGAATGCTTCAAAACTGCAAGGGAAGGAACCAGAGAGCAGCAGCCCTTCATGAAGAGTGCTCTGCATAGCCCACCTGCCCTGGAGTCAGCCTGCAGATTTCCAGTGCAAACTCTGAGCAGAAGAAAATAAAGAAACATTAGGGGAAAACTATCGAATGATTTAACAACTAGATACTATTTTCAAAAGAGAATTAGGAGCTTAATTTGCCCTGGACATCCAGGAAGATATATAATCCCATGCACATATTTTTAATTTTTAGAGACACATGAAACCATTATGGGTTTCTAAACCACTACTATATATATATATATATATTTCAGTCTGCTCAACCTCTCTCTCCCTTCAGACCCAAATACATGTATGAGAATGACTGACAAGCGTTCAAGTCAGCTAGGAATATCCAAATTAACAGTTATCTACTCAGCACCTCTAATTTACTACTTCATTAGAAATGATGGTAATTTGATACACAATAATCCCGAGAATAGCTTGCTCAAAATCCCCTGAGAAAACCTGGGAGAGACAGTTCTGTCAGGTAAATTAAATACCAGGGAGTAAGGGGGATGTTATTTTACCTACTGCAAATCAATCATAGGTGCTGTTTAAAAGGTCATTTGTATGTAAGTGGAAAATTTTTAATGTCCCTGTTTAAAGGCACTAACTGTTATATGCAGAGGCATAAATCCATAGAACTCTTGAATACTAGAAAAAATGCTCAGAGACTTGTCTGTAAGAACCAATTACCTGCTGATTCATGAAATTTTCTGAATTATTAAAGAAAATAAAAGATTGATGGGATCTATTTTCACCCATTTGAATTGGCAATAAAACTATACAGTTTCCCTTTCCAGGAATATTTCAAAACTGTGAGGTTTCTGAAGACAGATATGCCTGGAGCATTGTTTACTCACTGTAATATGGCTTAATTGTAGAAATATGGAGATCAAGATCAAATGTTATTTACCATGAATAAAATAATACTATAGAGTTTAAAAAAAAAAAAAAAAAAAAGTGATACTCTACTGCTTTTAATTTTAATTGTACAGTAAAAGATGAATAATTACAAAGCACAAACTTTGACAACAACAGTGACATGAGGAAGCCACAAAGTTTTAGCCTGCATACTGAATATGCACCAGTACAAATTTATTGAAGTGTATTGTCTTCCTCATGGAGTAACCTGAATTTGTTAGCAATAGTTAGCAATTGTTAGTCTGATAGAGAACAAATTCCTTCAAGACCATATGGGGAGAAGTCATGTAAAGCCATGAATTTCCATCTGTATTTGAATACATTGTACATATAAACATATTAATGGCATTTTTTAAACTGCCTGAACACAGAATTGCTATGTTTTTGAACTCAGAAATATATGGACCTGTGTGTCTGTGTGGGTGGCTCTTCCAGTGAGATTCTCAATTTTCAACATCTTTAAAGGAAAAATGCAAATACTTACATTTTAATAAAGTATGAAAAACTGTAGTTCAAGATGGCTAGAGGAAAGATCTTACCACTTCACACAGAGTAACCAGCTAGCTAATCTGCTTGTCTTTCTCCTTGAAGATAAAAGACCCAGTACTTTCACCTCTCTGTTAAAACCATTACTAAAACTTGAAGCCATTACTAAAAGTTCTGGTAACTTACATAAAAGAAGATGGCTCACAGTCTTTGCAATAACTGTCATTACTCATTAATATCTACACAGTACTCCAAGAACTTTGATACTTTTCTTCCTATTGAACTTATTTAAAAACTTTAAATAGTTTCTTGAGATCAGCTAAATGTCCTTTCTATAGCAACTGCTTTTTTTAAACATATATTATTATTATTAAAATTCACTTCTATCTTGTCTCACCTTCTCCCTGAATTAGATGCCACCTTTTCATGCTTTACTGTGTTCTAGATTTTCTATTCCATAGTTTTGATTTATTTTGTAAAACGAGGAAAAAGGATGCTTTTAACAGCATCCCATTTTTTCCTTCTGATTAATTTCCCTGTTCTTTCCTTCAGATTATTCCTATTCAACAAAAGAAGACAACAAAATCATCATTACTGTAACTCAAAAGAGCTTTGTCTTCACGAAGGTAAAACCAATACTTGCTCTGTTGCTATAGTGAAAATTGTCATAGACTAATAAACTTGTACTTAAACAAGAATTTTATTTTTACTACCCAGGATGAAGTGAGCCTTTGACATCAGGACCCTCGCAACAACCTTTCCTTATTAAAAAATGAATTGACAGAAAAGAAGGAAGGAAGGAAGCAAGCAAGCAAGGAAGGAAGAATGGGTCTTTCTATAAGTCCAAGCATTACATTTCACAGAGCTATCTTTTATGAAATATTTTAACGTCTTACTGTTTATTTTTATATGAAAAAGAGGAACCAGACTTTCTCTTTTATTGTACTCTCTTAATACCATGCAAAATAATCAAAATACACAAAGACATGCCGTCTTTGCACCTTAAAAGCACCATTTAGTGCATATATTTCCTTGCTACCTTTCCTTGCTACCTCATTGAGTGCCAGAACAAGGAGCCTCTGTTGTGTCTGATTTCAGAGATTGCTTCAAGCTTCTTTTTCAGAGAATTATACTATTTTGGACTGTTAGCATTATTGTGAGCATAAAGCCTTATGATAAAGGCTGCTTAACCACCTATTTCAACAGATACAATGATACTGTAAATCAGACGACAAGATGTGAAACAGATTGAAACTTGAGATTGAAACTCAACACTTGATCCTACCATTTTAGCACTTGGCAAGGCATATATTCTATCTGTTTTTCTGCAGGAGAAAATTGGAAAGATGTTGAACAATGTGAAGCCATTTAGCTTGATCTGAACACTTCAGAAACAGTGGGGCCAAAGAAACTCAACTCTGACCATGAAACAAGAAAGCACTGATATACTTTCAGTTAATGGAAAAGTTGGAAATAACTGCTTGTAGATATGTTGTTCAATGGAATGCTCTTTGAATTTATTTTTAATGAGTATATGATTTAAGAAATACCTTCCAAATCCCATTAGGATTATTATAAATGCAATTTTATTTTGTTTTACATTACACCTATGATTACTTTGCACAGAGTCTCTGAACAGATGAGCACAGAAACTCAACACGTATGGGAAGCCACCAGTTTCATGGCAATTCTGCTCTACCCTTTCTCTTTTTCTTCTAAGCTTTCTTTTAAAGCATACTGAGATTTAAAAATAAGAGGACAAGGGCTTTTTTGGAATTGTGGTATTGTCAACACTATTACATTCAGGCTTCTTTGAATTAGATATTTGTTTTTCTCTTCTGGTTTTATATGCAAGCTGCTTCCTATCTAAGAATTACATACAAGGGCAAATATTAAAATAGATTTTACTCCTTACTTTTAATTTCAGTCTCAATGTGGTAACGTAATCATGACATTTCAGTAACAACACCAAAAGGACTAATGAGCTGTCTCTTAATTTTCTACTACTTTATTCTTCTGTATTTTAAAATGTCTTCATATATGTAATTTTATTCTGTCTTGCATACAAGAATTGACAAAGCAATATTTGACATTAGTAAGTTATTCAGGTCCTAAGCTAACCAAATTCTGTTCTCACCAAAGCAAAAAATAACTTCATTTAATTAAACAGGAAGCTTCACAACACCATTTGCAACAAGAATTGGTAGCCCTGCTTAGTAGAAAATGTTAACTTAGTCTGTTTTACTAGCAGGGGGCAGAGAAGCTGACAGCATTAATGGAAATAGAGAAGAGAATGAAATCAGGCAGCCTTGTACTGTAGTTATTCTATGCAGTTTTCAGCACTGAAGGCAAGTAGGAAAACAAAACAAAACAAACAAACAAACAAACAAAAAACAACCACAGACAAAGTTTGGTATATATTTTGAATGCAATGTGTTGGATAGTAGGAGCTACATCGGCTGGCCAGTCCAAAAATAAAAGGATAAGGAGGATGATGTATATGTATAACGTCCACCAGAGCTTTCTGAATGCAATACTGGGTTGAAAGCAACTAGAATGAAAGATATTATCCATAGAATCAATCCTGCAAATGCTTGTGTGTGTGTGTGTGTTCTGCAATATTTGTCAAAGAAACAAAGCATTTATGGTTACTGGAGAAGCTCAAAATTTATGTATTGATCATAACACCGGCAGTTGTAATAAACAGTTAATGAGTCTGGTAAACCCTGTTCTGCTCTTCTTAGAGAATCTTCTTACAGAATGTTCCTGCAAATTGAGACGGGAGCTCAGCCCTACTGTGAAACATCTAAGTCAGGAAATGTGTGATGTCAGGTAAGCAACAGTAAATTAATTATACTAGATTCTTTTGGTATGCAAACAGATGATATTGATATAGATGTTTGCTCACAGCAGGCAAGCACTGAGCTTGATGCAGAAATTACTATGGGAAAATTTCTATTCTTTCCTTTGCTGAAGATCAGACTATATGGTCTCATTCCATTTTACAAGATTATTTTAATGTTCATTTGTTTGCATTTCCCTGGAAAATCTATATACATTTCACTACCTGGTTGTACCCTCACATTCTTCAAAGCCACAAAGACTAACTCTGCAAAATGTCAAACCTACAACAGAAGTAAAAGAAATGCTATGAAGTGAAGAGCAAAGATTCGTTCTTTTTGGAGTGGTATAGGGTCTTAGACAATAAAGAATTGCAGGGTAAAGTTAAGGTGAAGTAGTAGAGGTGTTTCTAAAGGAGCACACTTCTAAGAGTGCACATTACCCCACAGATTTCAGGCACTGGGACGGGGGTTGAGGAAGGGCTGAGAACAGCACAAGAATTTCTCTCTGCTGCATGTATCCTCCTTAGAAAGAATTGGAGTAGCACAAAAGATCACAGAAAATATCTAGTCGTATTCTGCCATCTGGGAAAAAATTCCTTCTACCACATCTAAAGCTAATGCCTGTGCCATACACTGGCAACAAAGACTAAGGCCTTACTGTAAACTGAAAGCATTAAGCGTATCTGTTCAAATGCAATATTGCTCCTGCTGAGCATATTCTGCTGCTTCTACTTTTTCATATTTTTCAGTTAGAAAGACTGGGTTGAAGTCTGAGTCCTTCAGAGTCTAATAGAAGTTTTATCCGCATTC